TATTTCTGGGTACAGATCCCAAAGATTTGAAAGCAAGGACTCAAGCAGGTATCTGTACATCCATGTTCATGGCAGCATTATTCACAATGGTTAAAAGGTGGAAGCCACCCAAGCGTCTATCCATACATAGATGAACGAATAAACAAAATGGGGTCTCTCCAGAAAATGGACTATTAGTCAGCCTTAAACAGGAGGGAAGTCTGACACCCGCTTCAACGTGGATGAACCTGGAAATCAACCTGGAAGTCTTTATGCTCGGTGACATAAACCGATCACACATGAGAGAAATGTTGCATGATTCCACTTGTATGAGAAACCCAGAATGTCAGATCCATAGAGACAGAAAGTGGAAGGAATGTTGCCAGGGGCTGGGGGAGGGAAGGGGAGTAAGTGTTTAATGGGGACAGTTTCACTTTGGGAAGATGAAGAAGTTCCAGAGATGAATGAATGGTGGCACAAAACTATGTGAATGAATGTCGCTGATGCCACTGAACTGTACGCTTAAGAATTGTTAAAATGGTAAATTTTGTTGTATAATTTTACCACAATTTTAAAAAGAGTCCAGTATCCTGGATGGAGCCCGGGGCACCCACCCCAGGCCCTTTGCAGTTTGGAATGGCTGCAGTGACCCGTCCGTAAATGGCTCTGGATAGTCTCCATGTCACGCTGTGTCATTCTTTGAGGCAGTTCTTTAATGCATAACAACGTGATGTTAAAGTCATTCCTTAGTAGGACTTTACATAGAAACAAATCCTGTGTTCAGAAAAAAAATCTGGACAGACCAATTTGAGGTTCAAAGGAATTACACGTCACCAGGCAAAGGTGCCCTCATCCGGCAGGCTGACCATCCAAGGTCCACTCTGCACCAGGGCCTGGCCCCTGCCCTCACCTCCCACTGGTAGCTGGTGTGTGTGGGGGGGAGGGCGGTGCACAAGAAAGCTCCCTGCAGGGAGCTGCATGGAAGGGGAGCAGGTCAGACTCCGGGACAGCTTCTGGAACCCCATAAGGGGCTGTGCTCCCCACACCTCACCAGGGGCAGGGGACCCAGTGGAAAAGGCTCGCAGCCGCACCGAAAGGTCCAGAGTGGGACAGCGAGGGATCTGAGACATAGAATCATCCTGTGCATCCAGGGCACATGGGGACTGTGGTGGGTTGAATGGTGCCCCCTCCAAAAAAAATTTCACATCTACCTGGAACCTGTGAACGTGGCCTTATTTGGAAAAGGGGTCTTGACTGATGTAATAAGTTAAGGATCTTGAGATCCAATCATCTTGGATTATCCAAGTGAGTCCTAAATCCAGTAATGAGTGTCCTTATAAGAGAGGAGCAGAGGGAGATTTGGGACACGGAAGGAGGCTATGTAATGACAGAAGCAGAGATTGGGGTGGTGCGTCTACAAGCCAAGGATGGCTAGCAGGAGCCAGGGGCCAGGGGCCAGGAGACCGGCCCGGGACAGATCCTGCCTCGGAGCCGCTAGAAGAAACCAGCCCTGCCCGCACCTTGATTCTGGCTTCTGGATTCTCAAAAGGGGCAAGAATCAAGGGCTGTGGCTGGAAGCCGCCCATTCTCTGGTACTTGGTTACAACGGCCCTAAAAAGCTACAAGAGGGACCAGGACTCTTAGCGGTCAGAGCTGGAAGGGGAGGCCAGGAGGACTCTGGGCCAAGCCTCTCATCTCAGAGACAAAAAAGTAAAGCCAGAGAAGGCGAGAGCCGGTCCAGGAAGCCATGACCACAGCATCAGTCCAAGCCACAGACTCAGGGGCAAGTGGGGACAGCTGAGAAAGGGACAGGTGAGGACTGAGGCACTGCCTCCTGGTGACACAGGGCCCTCTGAGAAGAGCAGAGCGCCGGCTCCCTCTTGCTGGGTGACCCGTCTGTGCCTCACTGCTTCAGGCAGACACCCAGCCAGGGGCAGGCGTCCAGCGACAGTGTGGCCCGGCCCTCCAGGACCCCACGCCAACATTCATGACCCAGCGGAGACTTCCACATTCCCTGCCTGCAACTCACCCTCGCAGCCCAGCTGAGCTAAGCAACAGCTCCCCAGTGGAAAGTTCCCTTCTTGGAGATTCTCTCCCTGATGAAATACAAGCACTTGGAACAAGATAAAACTGCTTCGTTTTTGTAAAAGCCACAAAGCCAGTCCAGAACAAGAAAAAAAATGCGGACCCTTGGCTGAAAGGAGCAGCCTTCTGTCTCAGCGGCGGCCAGTCACCGCTCTGTGACTCACCCCCATCCTGCTGACTGACGAGCCCTCCGGCATCTTCCCAGGGGTGCCTGACCGCTGACGAGGCCCCCAGGCTCACAAACCAGGCGGGAGCTGGGTGCTTCCCAGGAAGGGGGCAGGGGGCAGGTCTAAGGTCTCCTGAGGCCGTCTACACCTGCCCCAAGCCCTCTCCCCAAAGCGTGGGCAGACCTCACCCCCGCCGCGCCAACCCTTCCTGGACAGCGGCGGAGAGCTGGCCGGACACGCCGTGAACGCCAGCCCCGTGGGGCCTGAGCAGTGACAGCCACATCTGGAAATGGGCAGTTGGGGCATCTGGCAAGGCAGACCCCTGTCCACACACACACAGCATCTGGGCCCCCAGCCCACCTTGGCCCTGTGCTCGCCGGGGACTGAGGTGTCACAACTGCCTTATGGTGAGACAAAGGGACATGGCTGGCAAGAAGGAAGGAGCCCCTCAGCAGGCTGGGCCCCGAACAGGCTCAGGAGCCCATTGTGGTGGGGACCCTGCCTCAGGCCATGCCGGTCCCACTCCCTCCCTTTACAGATTAAGAAACTGAGGCCCTGGTCCCAAAGGGACTTGTTCAAGGTCCCAGCAGGGACAGGGTGTAACTCGCTTCCCCAGGGACTGGTTAAGGGCCGAGTTACCATTAAAGACGAAAGCCAAGGTCTGACCAGGCCTGAGGAACGTGGGGGAAAAGCACAAGGATTTTCATTTCCATTCATATCTGTCACCAGTTTCTAACTGAGCTTTGAAGGAAATGAGTATTTTTTCATGAAAATGCATCCAAATGAGGATTTCATAGAGAGTACCAATTTTCCCTCTGGCACGTCCTGAGACAAGTGCTGTCCTCAGCGGAGGGCAGGGCGGTGGCGCTCTGCGCAGTTGTAAAGACACAGAGCTGACCGGTTCCAAAGGCGGTTTTGTTCAGTTCATGAAAAGCTCCTGGAGTTTGGCTGGCCCCGGAGGCTCCAAGACATGGCGAACACTCCTGACCCCCAGGGACCTCCTCCTGGCCTTGGTGTGCCAGCTGTCTGGTACCCTGGTGGTCACCCATCTGGGTCTTGGCTTAGTCATCTAAAATGAAGGCTGCACACGAGGCCCCCGAGGCCCCTGCCAGCTGAGCCAGAGGAGTGGCCATCCTGCCAGGCCCCACATGGGTCCCTCCTAGTGTCCCCTGCTCTGCAGCCCCTGCCAGGCTGAGAACAGGGAGCCCTGACTCAGCACCTCCGCCTGCCCCCACAGGGCCAACACGTCACCGAGCTCAAACACAGACGAGGTGCGGCTTTGCCAGACGTGCCTTCCGCCGCTGTCCACGGCTGCCCTACCCCCTGTGGTCAGTGTGCTGTGCCCGTTTGTGGGTGCCCAGCAGCACAAGCACACATATGCACATGGACCCACATGCACTGTCAGCAGCTCTCCTTCCAAGGGCTGCTCCACTCAGACCAGCCTTTCTTCTCTCTGGCCTCTTGGGGACCCCCCCCCAATAAAAAAACACAGAGTGGCAAATAACAGACCAGGGCCAATGGCACTGTGGGGTAACAGTCTTGGCCTTACTGCAACCCAGGGGTCAGCTCAGAACACCTGAAGCCCAGAGAGAGGCTGATGCCCCAGGATGCATCACACGGGCACCATGGACCCCAGCACCCAGTTCAAGGGGGTGCGCAGACACTATAATGCATGGGAATGACTCGTGATGCTGTCAGATGCTGACACAGTTACAGCACACAACGCCTGGCTGAAGGAACCGAGGAGGCCTGACCTGGAGAAGAGGGTCATGTAGCTGGGCCACTAAAGAAGGGACAGCCTCTTCCTCTTTAGTTGGCGGCCCTCCCCCCGCCCCATGGGTCTGTGCCCAATCCCTGCGGGCTGCCCACTTGGCCTATCTCTGAGAAGCTCACAGCCTGGGGGCTGGTCCCTACATGGGGCGCAGGGGCGGGTCCAGGCACCAGTAAGGCCCCTCCAGCCCAGCCAGCCGCCTGCCCTCCCTCCTTGCCCTGACGTGACATCCAGATGTTTAAGCAGTGATTCTGTTCCAGGATCTGAGCTGAGCCCACATCCGCTAATCTTCCTGTTCTGAACCGTCTCTCAGTAACCGCGGATCACTGTCACTGCCCCCTTCCCTGTTGCCAGGCTCCTAGGTGAGAACAGGACCCGAATGACACTGTCACCCCCAAGCAGGATTCGTCTTAATTCCCCCAAGCCTCGGGCAGAACAAGGCACGTTCTCTCTGATGTGCGCACATGCACACGCACACGCACGCACGCATCTGCACGTCTCGTCTGGGCACCGGGAGCTTCCACCCCTGTAATCAAGTCCAGGGAGGCACCAAAATGCTATTTCAGGGAGGACACCACGGCGGCCCTGAAGGCAGACGGTGGCTGGCAGCGAAAACACAAACCACACGGTGGACACACAAGCCGCTAACCGGCGCCCCTAATGACACCGCCCAGACCCCAGAGCCAGAGGCCAAGGCCAAGGTCCCCCCACCCTGTCCCGGAGTTCAGCGCCAACAGTCTCAGCACGCACAGTGGTCGGAAGATGCAGAAGTCGCACATTGGGAATTGAAAGAGAAGCAGCGGAGGGAAGGGAGCCGAGTTTAAATAAAAGCCAGACTTAGTGAAGCTCAGCTTGTGGAACCTCACATCCCACGACCTCAGAACAGTCCAGAGGAAGAGAAATATGTCCACAAAAATGAATACAAGTGAACCCTGGGGCTGGTTTCCCGAAGCACAAGTGAGGCTCCGGGGGAGGGAGTGGGGGAGGGCCGCGCCTACCTGAGATCCGGTCTCTCTCCATCACTACGATATATTTAGCAGCAGGCGGAGTCCGTGTCCCCCTTTTCAGAGGCGTCCTCCCCTTTCTCACCCCGCCGCCCTCCCCCTTTCTGCCTCCTCCTCCTCCTCCTCCTCCTCCAAAAACACTCTTTGTCTGGTCTAATTTCTTCAATCTGCTGCAATCTCGAATGCATCCAAATTACCACATTTCCATGTGCTGATCATATGTTTGTGCTCCAAACTGAAGTAGCATTGTCTCTGAATCCAGCGGACAGGGAGCGCAGGGGAGAAGGAGAGAAGGGGAGGGGAGGCGGAGCGAAGGCGGACGTGGGCCTTGAAGAGCTGGCGGCCCGGGTCCCCGGCGTCCCCAGGGCGCGCGGGCGGGCGGGCGCCGGTGCCTGGCCGGGCTGGGCGCGGTGGCTCCGAGGTGCTGCGTGCGGCTTCCGGCCGGACCTTCTCTCCACCCCGCGGGCCCCTCGGCCGAGTCTCGTTCGCTGCTCTTTTTTAATATCCAGTTGGAGAAGCTTAACTTAGCCTCTTGGAAACCAGCGCACAGACTCAGATTCCTGGCGACGTCCGACGTCTTTCATTTTCCCGCGATGCTCGTCTCCTCCGGCTGAAGCGGCTGCAAAGCCCGACTCCTGCGCCGGCCTCACCTTCCTCCCGACGCAGCCGGCCCTGTGCCCCGACCCCACGTGGCGCGAAGGAGGGGCCGGCTCGCCCCAGGCAGGCGGCCCCGGGAAGGCTTCAGGAGCACCTGCCCTGGCTGAGCCCCGCGAAGTGGCCCCCGCTGTCGCCCCGGTGTCCCGTCAGCCTGCGGTGGCACAGGCAGCTGGCTGTCCCCGCCCCAGCTGAGAGGGAGAGCGGGATGGAGGCTTCCTGGAAGATTCCTACCACACTCATGAGTCAGTGAGTGTCCAGCTGTCCCCTGGGAGGGAGCGTGGCTCCTGACCACGGACTTCCCCAGACGCAGCGCCTGTCCTCCAGGGAGCATGGGGCCCAGCAGGGCTGGGGGATTACAGCTGTTTCCTGCTCTTCACCTGGGGGGCGGGGAGGCTGCTTACCTGGCAATCTCAGGGGGCCCCACCAGCACCTGGTCAGAGTCAGGGCTGGGGGGGGGGGCTGGAGGATATCCCCTCTGTTCTGTAAACTTCACCTCAAGCTGGCAGCCCTGGGCCCTAGACAGAGACCGGTTTTGTTTGCCTGAACCTGAAAATGTGCATTCCCTGCCAACGTGGAACACGCAGGCGATTTCGCTGAGAACTCCAGATTTTCTGCTTGTCTTGGAAAAGGGAGGGCAGTGGCCACACCGGACGAGCCTTCCTGCCTGGCCACATGGGCTGGTTTGAAGAGTGCTACCCCCTTTAGATGAAACCACATTTTCCGGTTTGCTCTGGTCCACACGGCCCCTTCACTCATTTTCATTCTTTGCCTTCCTGCCATCCCCACAGCCTCTGAGTTTGCAGTCCCTGCCCCACCCAGCCACGTGAGCTATGTGTTACCACAGACGAGAGGCTCATGCATAACTCACTGCCAGATGGCGTGGTCAAAGTCCCCGTCCCCTCCTTCCGGGGACAGGACCCCCAATGCAGTCTGCTAGGTAGCAAAGGAATCCTCCTGGCATGGGGGTGGGAGGGGGGGATAATGTCCAGCTTTGTGGGAGATGCCACATAGCAACCACCTCCTCCTGCCTGCCCCCAGCAGAGCCTGGAGGACAGCCCCAAAGGTGCCCAGCAGGGTGAGGAAAGGTGGGACCAGTGTCTCAGCCAAGAGGGGCCCAGGGATTCAGGCACTGTGATGAGCTGAATAATGGCCCCCAAAGATATCGCATCCAAATTTCTGGTGCCTGTACAGGGGGACCTTATTTGGGAAGAGCCGTTGCAGGTGGGGTTAAGTGAAGGGTCTTGAGATGGGGAGATGATCCTGGATTACTGGGGTGATCCCTCGGTGCCATCACACATACTCACCTACGCGGGAGGCACAGAGAGATCTGACACCCATTCACAGAGATGGGGACGTGAAGCCGGAGCAGAGAGAGACAGGAAGACGCTGGCCTTGAAGACTGAAGCGATGCAGTCACAAGCCAAGGAATGCCAGCGGCCCTGGAAACAGGATGAGGCCAGGAGCAAATTCTCCCTCAGCCTTGGGAGGGCGGGCAGCCCTGCAGACACCTTGATTTCACTTCCGGCCTCCAGTCACAAAATACAGTTCTAGGGTTTTCAGGGCCCCAGTTTGCGGTGACTTGTTAAAGCAGCGATAGGATACTCACACAGGCACCACAGATGGACCCAGTGTTCCCTGCATCACACTTTCTGCTGATTACACTCCATTCTAAAACATCACGTTAAACCAACCACTAACAATCGTTGAGTTAGAACAACAGGAATCATGGAAATTTTTTGGTTTATTTAAACTCTTTTCCGATTTTGAAAAAAAATACTCCTTGTTGGTTTTTCTGATTATAAATGTAACATATGTTCATTGTATTAAACTTAGAAACTGCAGAAAAACTCATAAAGAAACCCCTTTAATGCCAATGGGACTCTCCAGGACCAATTCCAGCCGTGGCCGCAGACCCAGGCTGGCTGGTGGGCCAGGACAAGGGGCGGGGCCCAGGCTGGCTGGTGGGCCAGGACAAGGGGCGGGGCCC